AACCTATGCTGCCATAGTGAAAATCGTTGCTGAAGTATAAATTATTGTACAATAATAAAAAGGATAGTCGAAATGAATATCGAGTAGCTATTTCTGTGATGTCGATGCTTGGTTCCAACTACCTGAAGACGAGTCTTATAGATACAATGCGACTTTTTTAACTTTGCGATTTGCTCATTTTTTACATTTCTTTAATTTATAAAAAAAATAAAATTTGAATTAAATTTCACATAACATTATCTTAAGCTTATTAAATTCTTTTCAAAATGATATATTATTTTTTTAAATTCTGCTCATAAATTTTTAGCATTTACCCAAAATAAACTCGGTCTTTCATAATAGGAACCTTCCCTCTATTAAATATAATAATTAAATTTTGAATACCGTTACATCGAACATATCTAAAACGTCTCTAAAATATTCTTGCGTTATCTCTCATATATAATTATAATTCATTTTCAAAATAAACAATTAATGTCGAATGCAGAATTAACGCTACCTTAGCTACATCAGTGATAATCTTATCTCTATTTTGCTATTTACGACGGCTCTCCTATCGAAATCTATGCCGGAATTCGAAATTCTTTCGCGTAATACTATTTCTAAAAAAAATTATCGCATTATTTGGCTGACACTCATCATTCTTTCATTTTACGATCGTCTTGAGTAATATCTTAAAATGCTAACACAGTTCTGTGGTTGAAAGTGTGAAGAACCACATCTTGTGATTGAAAGTGTGAAGAACCACATCTTATTCGCGGCGGATACATCTCGGTTCTTAGTTGAATATTTATGCCGGAAAATGGTGCCGATTACCACTTTATGATTCCTGCACGCTAGACGTAGAAACGCCTGCCGCGCAGCAAAATGTAACGCCGTAGTTAATAAGCTTACAACTTCTAACATCTAATCTAACCTAATTTTAAATTTAATATACAAAAGTATTAACACAGAAGATGTTACACTATAAAATAAAAATATTTTCAAAGATTTAATTCTCCGAAAATACTATTTCGTAGTAATAATCGCGTGCCAATACTTTCAGCATTGTATACGCAAGCATGGCGTGAGGCTGTGTATATATATTGTGTGTATGTACAGGATGGGCCATTTAAAATTTGGAATTTAATTTGGCTCTAAAAAAAAACGCATGAATATTTTTCAAAGTTTATGGCTTTATTGGAAAGGTAGTACATTGCCATTAAATATGAAATACAATTTCATTCAAATGACTTCCACGGCTGGCTGCACTCATTCTATCAACCCAATTTTTCAGTACATTTTTCACTGTATGGGCGCGTATTTCATCGATGGCAACTTTGATTTCATGTTTTAATTTTTGAATTGTTTCTGGCTGGTTAGCATAACACTCATCCTTGACGGTTCCCCATAAAAAATAGTCCAGCGGAGTCAAATCGCAGTTGCAAGGCGGCCAATTGACATCAGCATTTCGGCTGATTATGCGATTTTCAAAGACAGTGCGCAAAAGATCGATTGTAGCGTTGGCTGTGTGCAAGGTGCGCCGTCCTGTTGAAACCAAATGTCGTCTGTGTCCTCCTCTTCAAATTTGAGAAGCAAGAATTCGTTTAGCATGGCGCGGTAGCGCTCGCCATTGACAATGACGGCAGCTCCTTGCTCATTTTCGAAGAAAAATAGCCCAATAATGCCGCCGGACCAAAAACCACACCAAACAGTCACTCGTTGTGGATGCATCGGCTTCTCCATGACGATGTGCGGATTCTTTGACCCCCAAAGGCAACAATTCTGCTTGTTCACATAGCCACCGAGGTGAAAATGAGCTTCGTCAGAAAAGATGATTTTTCGGTAAAAATGCTCATCTTCAAGCGTTGTTCAACTCATTCGGCGAACCGAAAACGTATCGGATGGTCATGCGGCTTCAATTCTTGCACTAATTGAACTTTGTATGGCTTCATACCGAGGTCTTTATTCAAAATTCTTCTCAAAGAAGTGCGTGAAATGTTCAAGTTTTGAGAACGATGGCGAGTTGATGTTGTTCAAGCACACTCTGAGCAACAGCAGCAATGTTTTCGATTGATCTTACTGGACGAGCACGTGAACGAGTTGCTTTATCCAATAAGGATCCAGTTTGCCGAATTCGCTTCACAAACTGCGTTGAAGGTATTTCTTTTCTATCAAATTTTCCACGTAAATTTCTTACAGTTTTGGTTGAAGACTCACCACTTTTGAAGTAAGTTTTCAATATTTCCCAATTTTGTTCACGTATAGCGACCCATTTCGTAAATGTCAAACAAAAAATTAAATTTCTGATACGTCATAAATGTTATTACGTCTTTCAAATTCAAAATAATCGGTAGTTAAAATTCCAAACGCTAGATGGCCCATCCTGTACATGCATACTAGAGATATCACTACAGATATAGATATTATAGAGACGTAGTGGAGATATATTGAAGACATACTGATACATACATCTCAGAATAACTACAATGCTAGAAGATGTGAAAATACGGATATAGTAGATTCTGAAGAAATACTGTGTACGTCACAGACGCGTCTCGAATATCTTGACAATGTATTCAACATATATTTGCAATATTGTTCTAATGTTCTCAGAACATAGATGGCTATTGTGTAAAATTTAATTTAACATCGCTCCTATTCAATCATATCGTTATTTTATATTAAAACAATGATATTGTCACTATCAAATTTACATGATACAGTGTCAAATTTAATTATTGTTTTGGTAAAAAATAACAACACATTTAATAGCAGCATTGACGAATCACGTTAGGTTAAATTTAACATTATAAATTTAACAGTGTATTCATAAATGTCCTGATATAATAGATTTCTTAATTTAAATCTAAATAGTCATTAACTTATTATGATTATTACTCCGCTTCGCGAGACATGTTTTTTTCTGTAAGATTCTTTCATTTCGTATCAAAACGCGTCTAACGAACATAATTTTATCAATATTAAAACTGAGGCCATCGTAGGATTTACTTCCAAAAATATATAACTATTTTTGTGCATTGTTGAAATAAGAAAAACTTTGTTTCAATTCTGTGTCACAAAAAAAATGAGTTTATGATCCAAGAAATTATTTTTCAATTAAAAAAAGTAAGACTCACTTTCTATCAGTCTCATATTATTGACAAAAATAAGTTTGAAACTCTTAAACTTACATTGGATTGAAAAAAATAGAAATTATGAAATTATCATTTCAATCCTATGTCATTGTTTAAAACGATGACTTATTTTTTCCATAAAATTTTTTTTCGGTTGAAAGAAATAGAAATCCCATAGTTTCAATTCCATCATCTATTAAAATGGATTTAAACAATTATGCATGAATTGAAATGTATTTTAAAAAATCAAGAATTTGGATTGATCAATGACCAAACGAATCTATTTCAATTAGAGAAAAGGAGGGGGAGAGAAAGAGAGAGAGAGAGAGAGAGAGAAAATGAAGTATATAATATGTAGATCAAAAATTTTTTTTCGTTTTGTTTATTGTCTCACGGTCAAATATTACATTTTATAATAAAAATATTCTTATCTTTTTTATACGACGTTTAACATTTAAAAATGCTTATATAATATTTTTAGAGAAATATGAACTGTGTTCTAGATAAATATTCTCTCTATATCGCACCAATTCAGACATCAAGACACAATACGTAATATATATAATTATTTTATATTATTATGCAAACATTGTATTCGTAAATTTCAGCTCTTCCCAGAAGATCATTACAACGGATGAATCTGCAAATAAAGCGCATCTGTATGCAGACAAAAATTCATATACCGACAATGATAAAGTCTTATCACACTGCACAGCTAATTGTGATTCATTCATGAAAACTGTTACCATTTTACCGCCTACCAATGTTATATAATCAATCGTTTATTAGACACAGCAACGTCTATCAATATATAATAATAATATTTGTGGCTAATTTACATTAATAATAATTACTATATTAATACAAAGAAAAAGAATGCATAAAAGCAATAGAAACTGCAATTGCAGCTTTATTAATGAGTATGACTTATTTGCACGTGTACGTGAATTACACGTTCCTATTGAATATATTAAAGTAAATTATCCAGTTAAAAAGATACGAGAGAAGATAAACTGAATAAATTATACTTCTATTATAAACGAATTGATTAAGCATGAAGCGAAACTTTTTTCTATGAAAATTTCTTTGATACACTATCTTTCTTTTACGATTGAGATACATCGATATTAGTGAACATTTGAACTTAAAATAATATAATAATAATAATATATCATTTTACCGTAATACTCATAAATTCAGTTCCATATCTTTTTTAAGCGATAACGAGAAATGCGCTACACACGTTGTTCTAGTCATTAATTATTGAAGCAGAGTTATCTAAAAGAAACATTTAGAATTCATATATCTGAAGAAAACGTACATTGCAAGAAGCTAAAAGCTCTGAGAAAGAGGCTGGTCTCAAAAAATAAGAAACAAAGATCAAATAGAAAAGAAAAACATAATTTTTCGAAAATATGATTTTAACTTGGATAACTCTTCAGTAACATTTCTCATTCCATAAAAAGATTCTCGGAATATTTCTCCTGTTAAAACAACAAGTAATTCCCTCTTATTGTTTAGTTTCTCTCTTTCTCTTTTTTTCAACATGATTCGCCATCGCTTTCGTAACGTATCACGCGTATTACGCAGAAGTTCCTCGTTATTGTCTTGATTTCTTTCCTCTCTCTCTCTCTCTCTCT